GAAAAATTATTAGATTTAATGCCCTGAATCTAAGGTAATTTATCAGTAGTTTCATTAACTCTCTTGCTAATAAAGGTAAAATTTCATTAAAGCAAGCCCCACTGAGCCTCCTACTTTGGGGTGGGAGAACTGTGATGAACACATTGACCTAAATTGCTTTTGGTTCCACAGAACTAGGAAAACAGCTGGTGCATAGCTTCTCAATAGCACATTAGGAGAGAGAATGGGCAATCTGTAATGAGCTAGTCACCTCTGAACTCAGTAGGATGAAGGGGAAGGTGCCCTGCCTGCTCCATCTTTTGCTTCTCTGCCCTTCTAAGCAGGTGGGTGTTTAGGGAGTTCTGGAGTTTTGTTAGCTGGTCCTGCTACACTGGGGTGCTGGGAAGTTGAAAAGGAACATGGACTCCGGGGCTGGAGTCATTGGAACACTCAACTTTTAGTGTGCAATGAAAAATCCCGAGGGATTCTGAAACAGGCAGATTCCAGGCCCGATGATCTGACTGGTAGATCAGGATCTCAGTTGACTTGGTGGTGGGGGGTGGGGGGCAAAAGGCCCATGAAAGGTCTATTCCACTCTCCCCAAGGACTTTGTCAGTCTTTACACCATTAGGAACTATGGAAGACCCCCACATCTCCACCTCCCACCCAAATCCTTAGGCCTTTTTGACATAAATTTCCAAGAGCCTGCTGGACATTATGCTGGGACAGATCTGAAAATAAACATCAGACCTAAGGACCAGCAAATTCTGGGGATGGCATTCCACAGTCTGCATCATGTTTAGGACTCTCAAAGTTATTCTAAAGTTCAATGAAGACATTGGAACAGAGAATGGTAAGAAGTACAATGGTAGAATCTTGATAAATGGTAGAATTTCCATTTATGAGAAAAGAAACCAGTAGAATCAGCCAAAAGTTGGTGTTCTGTCAAAAAAGCAAAGGAAGCAGAGAGCCTGAGAAAGAGGGGTGTCCAAAACTATAGTTTGGAATGGATATAATAGGCCACCAATTAAGGCTAAAAAGATAGCTTTTTAAAAAAGATTTTATTTATTTTGAGACAGAGAAAGTGCACGCAATGGGAGGGGCAGAGGGAGAGGGAGAGAGAATCTCAAGCGGACTCCATGCTGAGCGTGGAGCCCGATGTGGGGCCCGATCTCACGACCCTGAGATCATGACCTTAGCTGAAAGCAAGAGTTGGACACTTAACCGAATGAGCCACCCAGGTGCCCCAAAAAGCTAACTTTTGAGAGCATTGTGTAAGCCCACTGACAAAAGTGAGCGGCAGGTAAGAAGAGATGAAAGGAGCAAGCCCTGAGAGGCGGGGTGGCCACGGGTGGTGACCTGGCAGCCCTGTGGGGCAGTGGCCCACAGGGACTTTGAGCTTTTAAGGATAGGAGACATGAACACTGTTGTAGATTGAAGGAGGGAGCCCATCGGGCCAGATAGGCTACAAATGAAATTGAGTGAATAATGACCCAAGTTCCTATGGGACTGTTGTGTCTTCCTTTATTTTTTTTAATTTTTAAAATATTTTATTTATATATTTTATTTTTTGGTAGACAATTTTTATTCCTGTATTATTTTTTTTGGTGTCTTCCAAACAGACTAATTGACCGACCTTCTCAGAATCTGTTTTAAGAGGCAATAATTTAGCTGCGCCTGAGTGGCTCAGTAGGTTAAGCATCTGCCTTTGGCTCAGGTCATGATCCCGGGGTCCTGGGATCCAGCCCCACATCGGGCTCCCTGCTCAGCGGGGAGCCTGCTTCTCCCTCTGCCTGCCGCTTCCCCTGCTTGTGCTCTCTCTGACAAATAATAAATAAAATCTTAAAAAAAAAAAAAAAGGCAATAATTTAATCAGAGGCTGGCAAATGTTTTCCCAAGGACCAGAGAGTAAATACTGGATATTTAAATTAATATTAATTTAGTATTAATAAACTGAGGGTATTATATACATATTGATATGCCATTTCACATTAAAAAATTTTTTTTTGTTTGCAGGTCATAACTGTTCTGTTTGGAGATCTCAGGTCGAATCCCATAAAATCAAATGGGGACAAAAAGACAAGATGCTAGTCCCCAGGCCGGTGTAGATGGCCCAGTTTGTACCCAAATGCGAGAAGCCCTCGCGGTAAAGTCCTGCCAGCAGAGCGAGACATTCAAGGCTCGTGTGGGACGGCTGCTCACACTGGACGCATGCGAATTACCCACAGAGGAACCCTCCAAGGGACTAGGTTTCGGATCCCTTTGGGTCCTCTGTCAGTCCAGCGTACTGCGTGGCTGGATGGCGCAGCCTACTTGGCTGTGGCTAGCTGAGAAAAGCAGAAAAATCAGTAAAAGGTCAAACGATGCACAAAAGAGAAAATTTTCAGCAACCCCACAGGTAACGTTCATTTTATTTTCAGTGACACAAGTACGCTTATATTTATTTAATGGCAATTATACGAGCCCTGTTATACCCCCATTATAAAAGTTCCAACAGTAGAGATGACCCCAATGGCCTCCAGGGCCACACTGCTTGACCCCCAGCGCTGGCCCCACAGGCCCTCAATGCAGGGATCAATGTGGCCACTGCACTTCCTGAGTTTATGACAAAAATTTCTGGATGTACTTGGCCTTACAGAAATAGATTTGTACCGCTGTGCACAAATATTCGATGTTATTTTTTTTAACAATAAATTTGGTGAGGACTTCCAACTCAGTACACGGATCTTATTCTTTTAAACCGCCACAAGGGATGTATAGTATGTATACTATCATTGTATAAATGTATAAATATCATGTATTTATTCTCTTAAGCATCTCTAATTTTCACTACTACCAATCCTGCTGCCCTAAAGTCTGTGACTTTCCTTCTTATCTGTCCTCCCATAAGTGCTGGACCAAGACAGCTGGGCTTCCCATACCTTTGTCCACAATCCATAATCTCTATTTTTATGTTTGAATTAACCAAAGTTATTTAAAGTTACGGTTAGCTTTTTTTGTATCCTGCCTTTTTGCCATGTAATTCACTTCTCACTGTGTACGGTGGATGTTGCTTACACAATTTTGGTTTTTTTTGGAATTTGTAGGAATTTCCTTTGTTGCAAATTCCACAGGGTCATTCATTGGCATTTGAAAAGAACAATCTCTCCATAGACCCCAAACTTGTTAATTACAGCTATCCCAACCCTCTGGGTCCCTGCTTACCTTCTGCTAGGTTTGTTGATTTCTGAGTCAGCGCCTGTGATGATGGCTTTGTCAATGTTTTTCATCGTATTTCTATTTGTTTTGCTCCAATTACGTTGTTAGAGACAAAGTTCATGACTACTGGGCCTTCTTGGTGAGATCTTCCTGTTTGCTTATGGTCTGCGCCTTTAATTCAGTGCTGGCCCTTCTTGAGGAAGTCCTACCGTCTTCCCTGGTCCTTTTGACTCTCCCACGCTGCTGTTTTTTGGTGTTTCTAACTGTTTGCAGCCAGGATTTACATTTTCCTTTTGTCCCATCTTAACATCTTTTATTTTTCATGGATGAGTTTAACCCATTTATACCATAAGCACTGCTATGCTGGGCTGTAGCCCTACCTGATTTTGTTTCCTACTTACCACTAACTTTTGTAAAGTTAGCTTTTTTCCTTTATATGGTAGCTCTCCCTATAGATCACTGCGGACGGAACATCCTGTACCACCCACTCAGCTTTTTATCCTGCTCTGTCATTCTTCCTGCCTCAGGGAAACTTCCAGATCCCTCTGGAGGGGAGGACATTTTCTGGAATTGCTTTAGTGCCCTTTTCAGTACTTCGCTCTCCTTCCAGCCGCATCTTTCCATCGCCCTGCACACCCCACTCCCCAGTTTTTCTCCCAGAACACGCGGGCTCCCACCTCCCCTACTGATTTATCTCACAGGCCCTCTTCCCAGCTAGCTTCTCTGTTTGAAAAGATCCTAGTGGCATCTTACTGGAAGCCTCCTGAAGATTAATGAACCTGTCAGACCAGAGGAACGAATCTGGGATGGCCCTCATCGGCCAGACTGCCCAAGTTTGCATCATCTCTGTTATGTGCCAGTAAGCATCTTATTTAAGCTCTCCATACCTCAGTCTCCTGACCTGTAAAATGGGTTAACAGGAGCACCTACTGCATAGGGTTGTTATGAGTTAATATGTGCCAAGAGTGTAGAGTAACGGCTGATGAGACCTCAAGAGATATTAGCGCTCAGAGTCATCATTCTAAAGGATCTAAAGAAGTACTTTTGCGTAGGGTTGGCCTTGGTACTTTCCTATTCAATCTCCGTGTGAGGACATACTAATGAGAACAGAAAAGCGACACCTGAGATGAACACACATTTCGATAAGTATCTAGTCTTTCTCAGCTCTGTGCAGCGCTTTAGACCCTTAGATGCTGTGAATGCTCGGCACATGCCACTGAATGACAAAAGAAGAAAGGGACTGATATCTGGATTTCTAAACTAATGTAGGAAATACCGGGGAACAGATAGGCTGAAGCCTCCGATGGCATTAGGTTATAGCATATCACTGAGTAAAAGACACAACAATATAAAATTTCCCAAAGTAGGACTATAAAGCACAGACATAAATATCAGCTAGATAAAACCTATACGGTAAGATGTGCTCAAAAGAGGTGACCTCTCTACTGAAGAGTTGCTTCAGCAAAAAAAAAAAAAAAAGGGTCCCCTGGTAAAATTTTCTCTAGCTTCAGAAATTAAACTTGGTCTACATTGTGAGACCTCTTCTCTGAAAACAAACGAAATTGGCTCACATGAGAGGCAAGCTATCAGCTTGGGAAACGAAAGTGTTCTGCATTTTGCAGGAAGATTACATTATTTGGTTACTTTATCTGTATGTGTAACAGTTTTGCTTTGTCCGAGTAGCAAAAATCTCCAGTTAACCGAGTGCTGTATTTTTTTATTCTCCACAGAATACTGATTTTGTAATATTGAATAGCCTGATTGATATTATACCATTAAAACAAAACTTTCACTTTATGAAAGATCAGCAAAAGTACAGCAGCAAGGATATAACTAGTGCATTTACTAACATACGTCATAATCATAAAACCAAATCAGACAATAATCGTCACATCGAACATGCCAACTTTAACCTACGGGAGCTGGTGTCTTTGGGAGGTGATTAATATATGTAAGTAATGACAATGATCAGTGGCAATACTTTTGAAATATTAACTCTTTGTCAGTTACACCTAAAATAAATCAACAAGAATACTGAAGTATAACGAGACTGAAATCCAAAATTTGTTGAACAGAGATGACGTCAAATAGGAGGCAGAGCACTGAACTGGGAGCCAGTGCGTCTGGATCCTCGTCTTGTCTTAAAAAAAAATGGCATCACCACCTATACATTTTGTTGAGCTCTGCCTTTCCATAATCTATTGTACTGTGAAACAATAGATTTTTTCTTTCCCGATATAAAATTATTTTTATATTATTTTTTACACCACTGAATGTTTTTTCAAACTCTACAGGCCCCTTCTCTCATTCCTTGTAAGATTTTGATATACTTTTTTTTTTTTAAAGATTTTATTTATTTATTTGACAGAGAGAGAGAGACAGCGACAGAGGGAACACAAGCAGGGGGAGTGGGAGAGGGAGAAGCAGGCTTCCCGTGGAGCAGGGAGCCCGATGCGGGGCTCGATCCCAGGACCCCGGGATCATGACCTGAGCCGAAGGCAGACGCCTAACGACTGAGCCACCCAGGCGCCCCAGATATACTTCTTTACAGGAACAAGATTTCTCTCTCTTGAACATCACTGAACCAAAACATAATTTCTGCATTACTATTCATGATCAGGCCCAATAACTAAGTTTGAGGAAACACTATTCAATTCAAATATAGAAAGAAATGACATTGTTGAGAAGTAGTGCACAATACAATGAATATTATAATATTGAATATGTTCTGATTATGAAACAAAATTACTTAAAGTTTATGCTTGAAAACTAATAGAGAGACTTGTTTTAGATTTTTTTTGTAAGTGGGCTCCATGCCCAACATGGGGCTCGAACTCACAACCCTGAGATCAAGAGTCACGCATTGCTTTACTGACTAAGCCAGCCAGGTGCCCCAAGAGACTTGTTTTTAAAATGATCTGCTGAGGGACGCCTGGGTGGCTCAGTTGGTTAAGCGACTGCCTTCGGCTCAGGTCATGATCCTGGAGTCCCGGGATCGAGTCCCACATCGGGCTCCCTGCTCAGCAAGGGAGTCTGCTTCTCCCTCTGACCCTCCCCTCTCACATGTGCTCTCTCTCTCTCTCTCTCTCAAAAAAAAAAAAAAAAAAATCAAATGTCAAAAAAAATAAGTAAATAAAATGATCTGCTGATATCATCATGAAATGCATCTTTTATGCAGGTCAATTATAGCAACAATTATATTGCTTTACTTTGTTAAAATAATGTCTTCAATCATATGATCTATAGAACTATACACTATTTTCCACCCACTTCCAGATATTTAGAACTAGAACTTTCAGATTTTTCTTTAACTTAAACTTTTTTTAGATTTTTCTAAATACATTTTCAGTTTCTACCTAGTTTAGAAACTCAGAATTGATCTATAGAACTGCCAACTGTGACAAAACCTTCTCCAAATGATTTTAAAAAATAAAAATTTAACAGGAATATAAAATAGCCATGTCTGTTAAGTAATACTTCAAATGTATTTTTCCAAATGCTGACAGAGTGAAACTTCTGTCTGCCCCAAAGTTGGAATGATTAATACGTACACAACTCTAAAAATAGTTCTGGAGAAAATATGGATGCATTTCTTCCCAAATTCGAAAAATGATTTCCCATGCGTCTCTGATGCAGACTGGAACAACAGATAAAACGGTAAAGGTCTAGCCCAAGAACCATGACTAAGGGCTTAAACAGAATGCTTCGATGTTGTGGAGGTTTACTTCCCCAACAAGGCACGATAGTTCAGAATTTTCTACCAGCAACCAGGGGGAGAGGCCCCACTCCCTCGGAGGTCAGTATTCTGCACCAATGTGCTTTGCAATGGTGTTCAGCTGGATATTTGAAGTTCCTTCATATATTGTACCTTAAACAAAAGGGAGCAAAAGGAACAATTAGGAGCGCACCCACAGCTACATGTCTACACAAGAAATTGCTCTTACATGTCACCTCTGTGGTTGCTATAAGACTGTCCCCAGTGACATCACTCCATGTCCCTGAATATGGTACAATATGACAAAGTCATTCTATCTATGAGATGATAATATTCCATTTTGGAAACTGGATGCTGATTCCAGAATCAGTATGAAACAGCTGAAGTTTGTCGTTCCTCAACTATCAATGCATAAGTCTGGACTGTCCCTCAGGAACGGGCAGCTTTGACAACCCCTCGTTTTCGTCTTCCCACCTGGTAGTGGAGCATCAGAACACTCAGGCTTGATTAGGCATGAGGCTTCTGGAATTAGAACTTCGCTTCAAAGAACGGCATTCAACACATCAAATGTATTAACATGTTTAGTGAAAGAAAAATTACAACAGCTGATTTTGTTGCACTTTTACTAAAAGGCCTGTTGAGGGATTTAAAAAGGCAATTTGAGGTTTTAAAAGATATACATCCATCTTTTTCTTGAAGAAAAAGGTGGGGGGAAAAACCCAGCCACAGAAGAGAGCCAATAAACCCAAGATTGAAGAGAGTAAAACTGCCTTTGCCTGAGTATCGTAGGATAAAATCAAACACAGCAGCCCCAACAGCCACAGAGGCAAATAAAACAAAACGTAAAAAATCTGTTTACCAATTTTTGCATCTCGGAAGTATTTTTCCACAGGGTAATCTTTGGTGTAGCCGACTCCTCCCATCCACTCAATACACTTACTAGTTGTGAGGCCTGCAACCTGCCAAAACCAAGCAGCAAATGACGTGTTGAGACCACGTAACTGATGCACCATAAACACTCCTGCAGAATAGTCTAGTAACATGGATTCACTGCTATTGGCAAGTGGAAGGACTGAAGTTACCTAGCATTGTCTCTTCAGTCTCCTTCCCTAAACCATTAATGTAAACTGTCCTATTAATTCACAAAATTCCCATTTTCTTAAGAAAATTAGGGTACTGGGCGCCTGGGTAGCTCAGATGGTTAAGCGTCTGCCTTCGGCTCAGGTCACGATCCCAGGGTCCTGGGATCGAGTCCCGCATCGGGCTCTCTGCTCGGCAGGGAGCCTGCTTCTCCCTCTGCCTCTCTCTCTGTCTCTCATGAATAAATAAATAAAATATTAAAAAAAAAGAAAAGAAAATTAGGGTACTGATCAGACACAGTCACATGCTGCCAACAGGCATCATTCATTTAGCAAATATTTATCAAGGGCCTTCTTTATCTCACGCACTCGGCCAGCCACTGGGTAAACCATGGTGGGGGGTGGCCGGTCACTGCCCTTTTTGGTTCACACAGCAAACTAACAATTACAGAAACAGGTAAAGTCTACAGGGCAACAGAAGAGCTGGCTGGGAAAACTGATGTGATTTAGGGGTTGGCGGGGGGAGCGTGCGAGGAAATGACAGCTTTGCTGAGCCCCAAAGGACGAGTTAGGGGACCTTTCAAGTTGAGGGACATGTGGGAGTGCTTCAGGGGGAAAACGGGCTTATCACCCTCAGGGACCTGGGGGGCCGTGGGCCGGGGTCAGGGCACACTGTGAAGAGAATGGAGAGGCAGGTGGGCCTCATGATGGCAGGCGGGCTGAAGACTGCGACGGCCCCCAAAGACGTCCACATGCTACTCCCCAGGAACGGTAATGTTTGTTACCTTACATGACCATGGGGACCCACAGATGTGGTAAGTTGAGGGCTTTGAGATGGGAGATGGTCCTGGCTAGCCTGGGTGTGGCCAATGGCATCGTGAGGGTCCCCTTAAGGGAAAGAGGGAGGCAAGAGAGCCAAAACCAGATTTGAACACGCTCCCCCGAGAGCCTCGAAGGTGGAGGACGGGGCTGTGAATGGGGGAATGTGAGAAGCCTCGAGAAGCGGGAAGAGTGAGGAAATGGATTCTCTCCAGAGCCTCTGAAAGGCAGCTCTGCTGACACTCTGATTTTATCCCAATGATAACTCAGACTTCTGACCTCCAGAGCCATGAGATAATAAAATTGTATTGTTTTAGGCCACTAAATTTTTGTTAAAAGCAGCAGGAAATGAATACAAATATTGTCCCTTTTGCTGTGAGAAGCCATGAAGGTTAAGCTGGAGTGACACGGTCTCCTGGACATTCTGAAAAGGGAAGACCGGACTGGAGGAAGAAGCAACAGGGTCCAACGAACAGTCAGAAGGTGAGTGGGGTCGTCTGGTCAAGAAATGGCACGGCTTGGACAACAGGGGGCAGTGGAAGGGGAGAGAAATATGTTAAGTGCAAGAAATACTCAGGGGGCAGAACCCTCAGCAACTGATGATGGGGTTCAAGGTGGGGATGAGGGGGAACAGGGTGGCAGATGGCTCAGGTCCCTGACTGGTACAATGGGGTGGGCAGGTCCAGTGGAAATTGGATCTATTAGTCTGGAACCCAGAAGGGAGGTTGAGGCAGGTGATGAAATTTGAGGGCTGAGAGGTTAAGGGATTATTCCAAGCTATGGAATGACTAAGACAAACTACAGAGGTTGGGAAGTAGCAGCCAGTGATTTGGCAAAGTTCTCCAGCCAAAGTCTACCGGGTTAAACAGAGAATGCTTTAGGTATCAACAGAAAACATTCAACCGAAACATGAACAATCTCTTCTTGCTGTTTTTACTTCACATGATTTGCCCCAATCAGAAACCAGGGATGGGATGCCATCATTCAGATGAGGCTCACCCAGGGATTCACTGATGGGTGTTCTACCTGAATTGGGTGACTCAGTTTCCACTGAAGAGCCTGTGAAAACACTGAGACCTCATAGAATTAAAGCGCTTTTCTATGGAAGGTTTGCAATTTTGCTTTTCTATTGTAAGAACTGGAAAGTCTATGCTATTTTAGTTGAAAAACAAATGCTCCATCAATACCCCCAAGTGAAAAGGTTAATACATACATAATGGGGGTGCAGAGGGGAAGAAGGCTGAATTACGTATTTCGGTTGTTTGTTGTTTTACCTCTGAGGCATAGTATTTGGCCATAGATGCTTCTTTTATGAATGGCTTTCCAGCTTCTAAAAGCCTAGCAGTGTTGTAGGTTAGCAATCTTGCAGCTTCCAGCTGGGTGGCAACATGGGCCACTTGGTGTTGGAGTCCCTGGAACATTCAGATCCAAGTTAGAGAATTATGATTTCTGAAAACACAGCTTATCCTCAAAGTCTTGCCTGGATATGGAACACTGACAGGCTGAAAACATACCCCCCCCACACCCCCGGGAACAGAATTTGCATTCATTTTGTAGAAATACTTAAAAATCTGCAATCTACAATGAAATTGTTTTTAGAAAACTTTCAAAGTTCATGTAATTCTGTATAATTGTCAAGATTTAAAAAATAATCACAAAATTAGGTTTAACAATTTGCTCTATTTAATAATTAGTTTAAACCCATTCTATGATCAAAATTAAGCTTAACAGTTTTCTTTTAATTACCCATACGAGGTATCTTTAGAGAAGTGTCATGATTATATCTGTTAGTTCACCTGACCCCGTATCCTTCCCCCTCGCCAACTCCAGACACAGAAACAAAGGAGATCTAAAGCCTCCCACAAACTGTCTTCATATTCTGTCCCTTTCCTTGCAATCTCTGTGGTAGCTGGCTCTGAGAAAGTACTCTAGTATAATGAAATGAAAATAGGATCAGAAGCCAAGATGAAACACCTACGGTCTGACACCTGACTAACTGTATGTCCTTGGGAACTCAGTCTCTAGGTGCTTCCGTTTCCCATGGCTAAGATGCCCAGGGAGCACGGGCTGTGGAAGGCCCTGGCCGGGCCCGAAATGCTCAGTCCTTCCAGGCCTTGAACTGACTGCACATGCCCACTGTGCACCCAGGCCAGAACGCACTGTGCCTGGAATCTCTATGCACATGCAATCTGTGTGTGCTTGTCTAAGGCCAAGTCCTTATTACGGCACCTGAAGACAATGCAGGCCAACAGAGCCGGGAAGGTAGTAAGAAATTGGACTTAGAGCCTCGAGCTGCTTACAGGGAGGTTTTACAAACATGTAAAGTAATTACTCCGGATTTTTAGGTAAAGTGCTTGCGTGAGCTCGGTAGGCTGCCACTCCGGGCCTTCCCTAACCTGGCGAGGCCTCCACATGGCCTGGAAGATGCCACTTGCCCCCAGCGGTCTCCTTATCTGGGGAGCTCCAAGAAGCCACATCATTAGACCAGGCCAGTATCTTTCAACGCACTTGGCTGAGAACATCTCATTTGCACTCACTGCAGCAAACTGTACCTTCTACCAGAAAGGAGTGTCAAAGTGTAGTCGTTGGAGATTACTGCGTGGCTGTCTTGCACAGAGGATTCCTAACGTGTGTTACCATTTACTGAGCACTTGTCACACTCAGGCAACATGCTAAATACTCTCCACACCTATCTGATGCAGTCACCCTGGTATTCTCTTTAGTTTAGAGATGCAGCAGTGGGGCTTAAAGGGTGAGGTAACTTGTCCACGGCCTACAGCTGGTAAGACAGAGAGCCGGGATTTGAGCCCTGGATGCCTGACTGCAGACCCCATGCCCTAGAACTTGGGAAGCAGTGCAGAGACAACTCTAAAGTGCTCATCAAGATATCTGGAGTCATGCCACAGGTGGGCCTCAAGGACTGCTGTTCTGCCCTTGGAGAAGGTCCAGGCATTCAGAGGTATGCACCCTAAGACCTATTCCTTCCTCTTCTCCATCTTTCCCATTAAAATCCGCCCCCCCCCGCCAAGGGGACTCCCTCACGGCTTTATGACACAGCTCTTCATTAGCACGAAACCTTGGGAGGATGGTTCAGTACAAAGAGGCTAATAATTATGTACCTGAAAATCAAATATCCTTTTGCCAAACTGCATCCTTTCTTTCATATAGGGAATAGTGTAGTCAAAGCACCCTTGAGCGAGTCCCAGCATCTGTTCAAAAAAAAAAAAAGAGAGAATTTCTTATTTTGTTGTTAAGTTTACGTTTTTAATTATTCAGGGTATAAATTCCTTTTACAGGCAAATTGAATCGTTGGGGGATAGGGGAAGACTGGAGGCACAAAGGTGGTACCTTCACCCACTGCATTTGTAGAACTTAACTTCCAGTGACTGGGAGAAGATTCGAGTGATTTCATATAAATAGGAGTCTGTTTAATTCTAGCAGAGGTAAATCCTCGGCTCAGCTGTTTTCATACAACCAGGTTACTTCTAAGGAAGCTTCTCGTTCAAGCTCTGATCCTCCAGGCATAAAGTGAGCCATGGAAATTTTGCTCTCAACTGGCCTCGAAGACTATAGAGCAGCTCTCTCTAGTCCTTCAACGTGGAAGGTCACTCCTTAACCTTCTATCTTCCTGTCTGTGTTGCATATTATCAGGATTAATAAGAGCTTCAGGGGAAAGGGCACTAGAACATAAAAGAACAGTGTTGCCCAACCCTGGCTGCACATTAGGTTCATTTGTGGGAACTTGATAAAAAAAAAAAAAAGTGATGTGAGGTCTAAGGACTGAATCCAAATGTTGGGAGTGGAGGGCGTGAGTGGCCGAGGGAGCAGCGTTTTCAAACCTGACTGGTTTCCTGCAGGGCTACACTGAGAGCACCTGTTAAAGACACAGATTTATGTGCTGGGACCAGTCAGGCCATGGTGGCAATCTCAGCTGAACCGTCTCGTTACTAACCAACCCACTGACTGATTCAAGCTCAGAAACGGTTTCTCCATTCCAACACTAGGTGGCCATGAAGTCACTATCCCTCATTATGTCAAAGTATGTGGGTTTTAGAAAAAGAAAAAAAAAAATCAATAGGGAAAGCTTTGGGGGAAATGCCCACAAACATCAATATTTCATTAGTGTTCATTCACATTTTCCTTTAGCCTTTTATTTTAAATTTTCTGGAGAACAGACTATCGAGCTAAAAATTATTAAAGGACACCCCCCCACACACCCAGCCCAAACTTCAGTGGGGCAGCAACCCATTGCACTTTTGGCTGAGATAAGATGATGTCACCAAACTCTTACAGCATGCTGATAATATCCTACGTTGACGTGAAAATTAAAATGACCAGTTGTCAATCACAATAGGCTTTTCCATCTCTGTAAAATGTTTTCACTATCAATCCTGAAAAACTAAATTGTCTTCGGCTGCAGTTTTGAGGATAGATGCCTTCAGTTCGCTGTTATATGTAACTCTTTCTCTAAAAGGCATCCACAGTGTTAACCAAGAAATAATAACTACCTGACCTTAACTTTTAATTAGGTTATAAGATAACTTGGAGTAATTAGATGAAAGCCCAGGCTGTGTATTTTACCGGCAGAGTATCTGTATTATTTATACATGTGAGAACAAGGAGATCCAGTCCTACAGTTTTTAATGCCATATCTGATGAAATAAATCACAGAAAAACAGTAAAAAGAACAGATAAGTCATTTCTCTCATGATGTAGCTTTGTGAGAAACACGGGTTAAGTTTTGATCTAAGAATGTTTTGTTAGCAAATTAACAGCAGCAAAAAAAAAAAAAAAAAAATCTAGAGGAATACTACAACAGTTAACTATTCCAATAGCTAATATGTATAACATCTTCAAAATCGAAACGCTTCAAGTTTTTGAATTTGGGATGTTCACTAATTAAAAATAAACAAATATAGTCTACAAAATGACATTTTTTACAAAAGAGTTTATTTTTAAGTAACCTCTACACCCAACGTGGGGCTTGAACTCATAACTCCAAGAACAAGAGTCACATGCTCTGCCGATTGAGCCAGCCAGGCATCCCCAAAATGACATTTATAATAAAACCAAAGACGCTACTCATTTTGTTAATCAAGAAATCAACCAATTTCGCTTCATAGAAAAATGTAATGTGCATTATAAAGGGCAAATTTGGCTAAAAACATGGCATAGTTCTCATCGTATATATCCATTTAATTGTGGCTATTTTATTTCGAGCACCACACACACAAAATTGCCTGATTTTCCCAGGCAAAACACTAATTCTTTACAGATTACAGACCCTTACTACACAGAATATTTGGTATTTTTAATTAAAAAAATTTTTCTTCTAGAATGAACTTCCAAAACTGAAAAGGCGATTTTTTTTTTAAAAGGCATATTTAATTTACAATATATTTGAGAAGTTATCGATCCAGGTATTGGATAATACTTAACGTTCTCAAAGCAGAAAAAGCGTCACCACTAAGCCATTGTTTGGTTCTCAGGGCGTTACATAATTGACCAAAGTGGGATCTGAAAGAAATCAGTCAGAAGCCATTCTTCCACCTCACGGAAGGGAAGGGCGCCATCTTGTGGTCAACTTCCAATACTCATCAGTTGTACTGCATTTTTTTTTTCTTTTTTTTTTTTCATTATTTTCTTCCTGCGTTTTAATTGACCCACACTGTGGAAATTCAAGCAAAATGGCTAAAACGTGACTAACCTGTGCAGCAATTCCTATTCTGCCTTCATTAAGACTCCCTATGGCATACTTATAGCCGTGTCCAATTTGTCCCAGGATATTGGCTTCTGGAACCTGAAAGGAAAAATGTGCAATTATTTCTACATTTAATTTTACATAATTCGTTTTGATTATATAGCTTTACATACACAACATTCCCAGTCTGTGTGATAGGACTCCAGCCCAGGACTTCAGTGAACTCCAAGGCTACCCCTCGTCTGTCTCCCTCTCCGTGGCTTCCCACATAGCTCTGGGAGAGGACAGGACTCACGTCGGTGCTGCTTGTTATCGCTTCCACTAGCGCCCAGCACAGGCATGTGTTGAACGAATGAATGGATCTAGAAAAAGGGAATCTCCTACAATCCATCAATAACAAATGAATAACCATTTTCCCCAATTCTTGCCTGTACGCTGTAGTATGAGATTGAACATATTGGGAATTACATAAAACATGTAAGTACTTGGCTAAATCAAGGGTGTCAAACCTTTCTTCTGCTGAGACTATTAACCCTGTGAAAATCACCTGAGCTGTGTGCACACACATGCATAAGCACACAAGGGAGGGGCGGAAGGAGAGAAGAAACAGATTAAAATGTTGATTTGTAATTTTAAAAAATCTAGACTAGGAACAATAAAACAATACATTTAGCTTTACAACCTCAGAAGATGGAGTGGGCAGAACAGAGAAAGAAAGGGCAAGCAGGAAGGAAGCCAGTCTGGGGGAATTAGTGAGGCTCGAACATCTATCTGCAAAGTCACCCCATGGATGCCCACATGCTCACTCATGAACCAAAAGATCAAGCCATAATATGAGTGTAAAAAACCTGTCAAAGCCTGTTCCACCTGTGTCAAGTTCTAAAAAGCATTCTGGCAATCTTCTCTTCCTCGCTTTTTTAAAAAATTCAATTTAATTAACATAGTGCATTATTAGTTTCAGAGGTAGAATTCAGTGATTCATCAGTTGCATATAACACCCAGTGCTCATCACATGATGTGCCCTCCTTAATGCCCATCCCCCAGTTGCCCCATCCCTGCCCCTACCTCCCCTCCAGCAACCCTCAGTTTGTTCCCTAGAGTTAAGAGTCTCTTATGGTTTGTCTCCCTCTCTGATTTCATCTTCTTTCTCTTCCTCACTTTTAACAGATTCCACTCTAAACTGTGAGGCGCTGCCCGGTCTTTTCTCAGGCTCACTGGGCGACATCCCCACCTTGTGGCCTTTGGTATACACGGCACGTCCGTCTCTGAAGTCAGTATCAAGTTTATAAAGTATAAATGGTTCCTAAGCATGTAAATTAAAAAGTGTAAATGGGATTAACCCTCAGCATTGGCTCTGAGGTCAGCTTCTGGGCAGAAAGGTTTCCACTCTTCACTTAAACTCTCGGGAAAAGTAGATTTAGCCAAGATGTCACTTAAGAACATCGTCCAAGTCTTACAAAATACTTTCCTGTGCATGCTCAATATGGTGACACTTGTGCATCTGTTGTTCCGTGCAAAGCTTATTTCACGCCAGTCTTTTGCTGGAAATTCTAAGATACCTACCTTGACGTTTTCAAAGGTTAATGGGCAGGTGGAAGAAGCTCTAATCCCCATTTTGTTTTCCGCTTTCCCTATGTGAAGGCCTTCAGTGTCACGATCTACTAGGAAGCACGTAATTCCTTTATACCCCTAAAAAGAAGATATAAAATGCTATGCCACACTTGAACTGATAGGATCCCCTGTTTCCAAGAGCTGAAAGTTAACAGAAAACTAAAACTGAACTTTGGCATTATTATTAATGGGTTCAGAGCTGCAACAGGTGCATTAGTAAACTTGGAAAACATTAGATTCACAATGAAGAAGTCTATAATTAACCATTATGGCTATGAAAATTATTAAGATACGCTAAAGTATTACGTGATCATGAGCATTCCATGTCTTAAATTTAATTTTGTTAAATGCTTTAAAGTTTTGAATGTAATTCAATTAAATGTTATGTCAGAGAAAAGACAATCAAATGTATTTACCTTTTTGCCATATACCTATTTTCCAACTAAATATTCTTAAAAATGAATGTACTAAGTAGGTACTTAAATTCATTCTTAAATAGAAAATGTGAAATCCTACAAAATGAAAGATTAGTTTCCGATATAACATTTTAGGTGGCAATTACTAAATGGACCTCCATGTAATACTAATCACATCAACCATATATATTCGGGGAGGTTAGTAAGTAAAAGGTTGAAAAGATGTCAGTTATCTAACATTTCAGTACTGAGGAGAATGAGGACTTGAAGACAAAGCTTTTGAAAATGCAGGCAGGAAGGAGATATGAAGAGAAAAGGTGGGAAGGGGAAAATAAATTCTGCTTTCAAACTTACAAGGTCAGGGTTTACGTTCGCCATCACCAGGAAGATACCTGCATATTCTGCGTTGCTGATCCACATCTTTGACCCATTGATGACATAATAGCTTCCCTTTTTATCAGCTCTGGTCTTCAAGGCAAATAAATCACTACCTGCTCCAGCCTCTGAAAGGCAGACACTTCCTACCTACATGTGCAAGCAAAAAAATTTCCAAGTTAATAACTGTATTTGTATTCTGTGTAACAAATACTTCCAGTAAAATAAACACATGTCGCTTAAAGCTTGAGCCACTTTTAAAAGCCTGTACTTATAAAATCGTAATAGTATTTTTATAGCATTTCTAAAATATACCCTACCACCTGTCTAAGATAGATTTAAAGACTTAAGCGCACAGATTCATTGTTAAATTTAATTAATTTGTTCTAATAATTGCAGTTTTCTAGACATCTCACTGTAAATGAAACCACCAACAAAAGTATTAAGAAAATATAACTGGGGCCCCCCCCCAAAAAAGATTTTTTTGTCTGATGATTATTCTCTTGAATTTCCAAGCAGAAATGAGAGGCAGAGTGTATTTTTCAAGTAGCATTAATTTCCTGAGCATTGCTTGATTACTGAATGGTGCCACGTTGTGGTCTTGGATAGTAGTCAACATCGCAGCTGGAGATGTCCTAAGTTTAGAAGAGATCGGATTCATTTCAACAACTCCTATTGACTTACTTTTTCTGTCGCAAGCTTGGTCAAATAGGTAGCCTTTTGTTCTTCTGTTCCGTATTTTCTAATTAGATTGTTAACTACTGTGTTCTGGATGTCACATACCAAAGCCACAGAGGCATCAACTTTGGCTAATTCCTCTATCACTAGGATAGATGTAAAAAAGGAAGCTCCTGTTCCTCCATACTTTGTTTCAATTTCAATACCCATCAACTAAAAGGAAAAACAAGGAAACAGATAAAAAAAGAAAAGAGAAATTAGCTTTCTTAAAGATTTTATTTATTTGACAGAGAGAGAGAGCACAAGCAGGGGGGAGCAGCAGAGGGAGAGGGAAAAGCAGTCTCCACGCTGAGCAGGGAGCCCGATGTGGGGCTCGATCCCAGGACCCTGGGATCATGACCTGAGCCAAAGGCAGACACTTAACCATCTGAGCCACCCAGGTGCCAAGAAAGCTAATTTCCATATGGGAAAATTCCTTGCAAGAACAAGTTCAAAATTAAATGTTAACTATATAGATTCCTAATTTTAAAACTGTACGTATATTTTATTTTAAATTGGTATGGCTATTGTACTATCTTGTAAGTAACAAAAACAATAGAAACTATACATACTTGAAAAGGAAGCGGTTAAAGCTAGAACTGCCATTTGTTTATGGAATCTAAAACACAAAAACCAGCAAAACGCTTCAAAGGATGATGGAATGGAAGAATGAGAAAGTGTCTCCTACCGCAGGGAGTCGGAGGAAGGCAGTGGGGCACAATCCCTTCTAGGCAGGCTCCTTGCCTTGACTCATTCAGCCAAGATGATAACTGAAGGACCACTCCTTCTGGGGCATTCTAGGTGGTTAGCAGACATCTGGTGGTGTTTCCTAGAACCCCAACAGACAAGGCGGAGGGGGCCTGGTAAACACGACCAGATGCTGGCCAAGCTTTCCAATGACGGTCTCACTGTTCAGCAGCTACTCCTAAGTCTAGAGCGTGCTTCCACAGTTCTCCATTTTTAAGTGTCCTCATTTCAGAAAGAGAATGTGTGTACGGGTAATTCAAGCCCCAAAGCTGTTAACAGATAAAAGGCTAATGCTGCTTTCTATTCTGCCCAGACACTTCTGGAATCACAGCGTGCTGCAGTCTGGGTCCCGGCGGTTATGGGTCAGCTGAGGGGAAGTTAGTGGGAAGACTGAGAAGGTGAGATCCAGAAATGATGTTCGATGAGGAAACACAGGGCGTGGTAACTATCTGGTTATGGTCTCCTGGACAGCAGTCAGAAACACTGCTTCTCCCAAAAAGCCACCGATTTTTCCTCCTTGGAAATACCGTTTTTGTCAGCTATTGCTACGGCAGGGGACCATAAATAGGGATAAGAGGTGGCTGAGAAGAGCTGGTGTGGGAGGTGCAACCAAGCAGACGCTCCAGCTGAGGTTATACCTAAGCAAGGGCAGCTTGTGGGCTTCAGACCATCCCGCCCGCAAGAACCACCCCGTCAGGAGAGTGATGTTCAGGGGTAGAACACTAATACTTCTCAGAACAGCCCAGAGGCTCTGCCAACAATGAAGATGAAGCCTGCCCGAAAAATGGGACTCCCAGATGCCACCTGACCCACAGATAAGATTCCATGTTCCCAAGCCTTTCATTGCTTTAAAAAAGGTGGAAAAATCACTACTAGGTATGGTACCCACAAGCGGGTCTCTTTAAAGTGGGAAAAGGAAAAACTATTTAGGTTCGGTGGAAAAGGCGGTTTTTCTCCAGCAGGGTAACAGACAAGATTTTAGCCAATGGCTCTGAAGAGGAGCACCAGTTCTGGGATATTTCCTAGTATTCAAAATAAAAGATAAACAAACGTCCCTTCACAGCCACAGAGAGGGAGAGGTGATGAATAAGTGTGGTGATTTTGAAAATGTTCTCCTTGGAGTGCCCATGCTGATAACATTTGACAGTGTTCTCCTCGGAGCCTCCATGCTGGAGCAGTTCTACTTTTATCCATGTTGTGTACTGGGCTTCTGTTAAAGGGCTCTGCGACTTAGGGAGCTGGAAACCGGTTTCCCTGGTTAGTGCGGGATTCAGAGGCCGCCTCTGCTTCTAAGTTTGCGGTGTGCAGAGGGACTCGGGTAGAATACATGGTCTACTGTGAAGTTTTACTAACTAAATCTCAATCTTGGTATTGTTGAGCTGGATCACTCTTTGTTGGGGGGCGGTCCTGGACACTGTAGGATGTTTAGCAGCATGCCTGACCTCTATCCCACCAGATGCCAGCGTCACCCCCAGTTGTGACCACCAAAAATGTCTCCAGAGACTGCCAAATGTCTCTTGGGGGACAAAACAGCCTCTGGTTGAGGACCACAGATCTAAAGAAATCATTCTTTCTTGCTTCCGAGCCCTTCTCTTAAAAAGCACGGTATTCCTAATTTAAAATGCTAAATCAATTTAAAAGAATTTAACTAGGATTTCAACCTAAAAGAGAACACAGAGGGGCACCTGGGTGGCTCCGTCTGTGAAGCGTCTGCCTTTTGCTCAGGTCATGATCTCGGGGTCCTGGGATCGAGCCCCGCCACGGGCTTCCTGCTCAGTGGGGAGCCTGCTTCTCCCTCTGCCCCTCCCCCCCGCTCATGATCTCTTTCTCTCAAAAATAAAAAAAATAAAAATCTTTAAAAGAGAACACAGATAATTTTGACTAGGAAATGAAGAGTTCATTAAGCTATCATTACAGTTCCTGAATTTAAACACATGCATACATTTTAAAGAGGGACAGTACTTATACAAAAGTTTGGAATGGGAAGAATTATAAAGTACATACCCCTTGTTGAAATAATCCTTGTATTATCGAGGTGTCCATTTTTGAATTTTCATCCATTGTTGAAACCAGAGGAGCAACCTGTTCCTGGGCAAATTTGTTAACTGTAGGGGGAAAAAAAATACTGATAATGTCTTTATTCTCTTAATAGGACAGGTTTTACTTTAAAAAAAAAAAAAAGTTTTAAATTATAAAAAAAAATTCCATTCACAAACTGAACATACCCCCCAACACGTCATGGGATCTCACACTGGATCCAACTGGTGACCAGATGGATCCGGAGGTGACACTGGGCCGTCTACTCACCTATGTTCTTTATCATCATCTCCTCATCTGTAAACATCTGGAGGGGGGCACAGGACAGCCCGGGGTTTGTTACACCAAGGAGAGCTGCTGACTGGGAAGATTTCAGGACACGGGGAGGAGTTTTCCAAGAAGACAGGCAAGTTGGGAAGTTTCTTCTTAGCTGTCAGAACAGTCCCATTGAATAGGGAACACACACACACAAGGTAGAGACATATCTGAACATTAGGTTCTTTGGAAATAACTTTTATAATCCCTTCTTACCTCTTGGGTCACCAAAAAAGAGGAGCAGAAGCTGGAACATTTTAAAATTCACTGTCTTGTGAACAAAAACACAAACCAGTTTAACATTATATCCTTTATTCAAGCAATAAGCTCTTCTAACCAACAAATTTCCCAGAGGATTAGCTTTTACCTTTAAGAAAATAGAACTTTCTAGGTGGAATTCTTTCTTTCTTTCTTTTTTTTAAGATTTACTTATTTTGCGGGGCAGGGGCAGAGTGAGAGAAAGAATTTTAAGTCCCACCTGGGGCTCAATCCCACAACCCTAAGACCATGACCTGAGCCGAAATTAAGAGTCAGAGGCTCAACCGACTGCACCACCCAGGAGCCCTGGAACTCATTCTCAAAATGTTGCATTTCATGGACTTCTTTGAAGGGGAAACCTGAATATAAATAACACTACTGGGTGACCACTGCAAAGAGCATTCTAGAGTGGGGCGGGAATAGGTGAGGGCTCAGGGACAACTGAGCGGGGAGGAGAGCCCCCCGTCGACCTGCCCTGGGGGCTGCAGGCACCAGGGCTCTCTTGGTTTTCCAGGCCAGTTCTAGTGTTTCAGCTTCTCTGGTGTTTCAGCTTCAGAGATGGTGCAGCAACAGAGTTAAGAAAACAGGCTCTGAATGGAAAAAAGAGTCTCTTCAACAAATGGTGTTGGGAAAATTGGACAGCCACATGCAGAAGAATGAAACTGGACCATTTCCTTACACCACACACAAAAATAGACTCCAAATGGTTGAAAGAGCTCAATGTCAGACAGGAGTCCATCAAAATCCTAGAGGAGAACACAGGCAGCAACCTCTTCGACCTCAGCCGCAGCAACTTCTTCCTAGAAACATCGCCACAGGCAAGGGAAGCAAGGGCAAAAATGAACTATTGGGACTTCATCAAGATAAAAAGCTTTTGCACAGCAAAGGGAACAGTCAACAAAACCAAAAGACAACCGACAGAATGGGAGAAGGTATTTGCAAATGACATATCAGATAAAGGGCTAGTATCCAAAATCTATAAAGAACTTATCAAACTCAACACCCAAAGAACAAAGAATCCAATCAAGAAATGGGCAGAAGACATGAACAGACATTTTTCCAAAGAAGACACCCAAATGGCCAACAGACACATGAAAAAGTGCTCAACATCGCTCGGCATCAGGGAAATCCAAATCAAAACCTCAATGAGATACCACCTCACACCAGTCAGAATGGCTAAAATTAACAAGTCAGGAAACGACAGATGTTGGCGGGGATGCGGAAAAAGGGGAACCCTCCTACACTGTTGGTGGGAATGCAAGCTGTTGCAACCACTCTGGAAAACAGTATGGAGGTTCCTCAAAAGTTGAAAATAGAGCTCCCATATGATCCAGCAATTGCACTACTGGGTATATTTACCCCAAAGATACAAATGTAGGGATCCAAAGGGGTACGTGTACCCCGATGTTTATAGCAGCAATGTCCACAATAGCCAAACTGTGGGAAGAGCCGAGATGTCCATCGACAGATGAATGGATAAAGAAGATGTGGTATATATATACAATGGAATATTATGCAGCCATCAAAAGGAATGAGATCTTGCCATTTGCAATGACGTGGATGGAACTGGAGCGTGTTATGCTGAGCGAAATAAGTCAATCAGAGAAAGACATGTATCATATGACCTCACTGATATGAGGAATTCTGAATCTCAGGAAACAAACTGAGGGTTGCTGGAGTGGGGGGTGGGGTGGGAGGGATGGGGTGGCTGGGTGATAGACACTGGGGAGGGTATGTGCTATGGTGAGCGCTGTGAATTGTGCAAGACTCTTGAATCACAGATCTGTGCCTCTGAAACAAATAATGCAATATATGTTAAGAAAAAAAAAAGAAGAAGATAGCAGGAGGGGAAGAATGAAGGGGGGAAATCGGAGGGCAAGACGAACCATGAGAGACGATAGACTCTGAAAAACAAACTGAGGGTCCTAGAGGGGAGGGGGGTGGGAGGATGGGTTAGCCTGGTGATGGGTATTAAAGAGGGCATGTTCTGCATGGAGCACTGGGTGTTATGCACAAACAATGAATCATGGAACACTACATCTAAAACTAATGATGTAATGTATGGGGATTAACATAACAATAAAAAAAAGAAAAGAAAACAGGCTTTGGGGGCTGAAAGAACTAGTTTCAAACCCGGCATTTGGTTTTTACCAGCCACATGATCTTGGGCAAATGATTTCAACCTCAGTTAAAACTTCTCGGTCTGTTTCCTTCTCTGAAATATGTAGATAATCATCTTGAGTTTTGTGAGGATGAACGAGATAATCCACTTCATGAAGGGTCTGGCATGGCATCTGCCATACAGTAAGAGCTCGACAGACAGTAATGACTATTTCTACTCGGACCCTGAAGAACACAGCGGTGGTGGTCCTAATAGAGGTAGTCCCTGCAGCAGTAATAGAGTTAAACTGCAAGGCTGGCTTTTCTTGCCATTAGCGTGTCTTCCTGCTGCAGTGTGCCCGATGCTTCAATGTGCCAATTCCTGCTCAAACAATGGATCTGCTCCAATTTTGTTGAAAAAAGAAGCCATCCAATTTGAAATGCTTGCTATATCTTTCCAATTTTATTTTGTAGAACTTTATTACAGGGAAAACAAATAAGTTATTAGTCTTTTTAGGTTCACTAAAAACATGCTAAGGGAAACAAGCCAGCTACAAAGATCACATATTAATAGGATTCTATCTATATGGAATTTCCAGAAAAGGCAAATCCACAGAGATAGAAACTATAGTGGTTGCTTGAGGCTGGGGGTAATGGAAATATTCTATAACTCTGTAAATTACCTCAAAATCATTGCATTATACACTTTAAAAGAGTGAATTTTATGGTATGTAAATTATACAATAAAGCTGTTAAGAAAAGAATTAACGTTGGGGCACCTGGGTGGCTCAGTCGGTTAAGCGTCTGCCTTTGGTTCGGGTCATGGTCTCAGGGTCCTGGGATCCAGCCCCGCATCGGGCTCCCTGCTCAGTGGGAAGCCTGCTTCTCCCTCTCCCACTCCCCCTGCTTGTGTTCCCTCTCTCGCTGTGTCTCTCTCTGTCAAATAAATAAAATCTTTATAAAAAGAAAAAGAAAAGAATTAATGTTTTCCTTTTATTCAACAAGACTTAGAAACAAGTGTTCTGAGCGTCTGACAATTGCCTGAGAATGCAGAGTACCAAGGGGAACACTATAAGGCTCATGGAACAGGCAAAAAGCAAAGCCAATTTTGCAGGATTAAAAAACATACATGGTGTTAAAAAAAAAAAGCAAATGTAGTAATATATTGCAATATATTTTTTCTCAGTAGTTTTCCTTATACATGGAATATATTGCAATATATTTTTTCTCAGTAGTTTTCCTTATACATGGAAGTTTACTGATAAAAAGAAAAAAAACAACAAGTCACTGAGTTTGAACCACTGTTGATCTTTCCTACACTTGGGTCAGTCTTTGTAGTTAATGTACCCAGCAGTCGATGTACTCTTCTCTAGATTCAGGAGGGAAAACAAACATTGGCCGGTTAGAAAAAGAAAATGTGTCTCTCTCAATCTTTAGTTAATTTTGTTTTGTTTGCAGAAGTAGGAGACAGTTTAGGACAAAGTTACATGGAACATTTTTTTCCTTGTTAAAAGACCTAGTTGGGAAAGGAACACTTTGGACTAGAAAGAAGGGGGGGGGGCACACACATGAGGTAGTGATGTCTTCTCCCCAATGAAACAAATGGAAGAATCAAGGGTAAGGAGGACGGAGGTAAGAAATGGAGGTACGTAGGGGCTTCAGGAGGGGAGCAGAAGGACAGAGTGTGATGAGTAGCAGCAGGCCCCAAGGACAGATGGGCTGGGAGAAGGGATGGGATTATGGGAGAAGGAAGAGAGATACCCGTGGGGTGTGTTCTGCTCCGTGGTTGGTGGGACTCAACAGACTTTGGAATTCATGAGAGAATGAGTCAACTAATCTCCATGAAATGATCAGGAAACTAGCCCGTTATATTTTACAACTCCAACACATTGCCCTCGATTCTTCTTTCTAGGGGAGATTATTTACTTCACTAGACCCCCCTACAGAGCTCTTTGTGTCTCTGAGTCAATGTGTCACCTCTGTACCGGAGTTTAACAGAAAGCCCACCACTGAGAAACTTAAGAAGCCAGCAGGTAGTACAATAATACCCATTTGTTCCTGTTTGACACAACTATGACCCACTTAAGTCTAAAAATTGCTACTGACAAAGTGTATGACTGTTCAACACATAACAATTTTTTTAATTTCTTTTAAAGATTTTATTTATTCATTTAGAGAGAGAGAGAGAGAGAGAGGGAGAGAGGCAGAGAGAATCCCAAGTAGACTCCGTGCTGAGCCCAATGTGGGGCTCGATCTCACAACCCTGAGATCACGACCTGAGCCGAAACCTAGAGTCGGAACCTTTAATCCACTGAGCCGCCCAGGCGTCTGACACATAACAATTATTTTAGATTCACAAGACCACAGAGGCAAATGTGCTTTACAAAGTGGGTAGCGCCATACAAAGGTAGGGTGAGCTTACTGAAGATGCCGTCATAAAACACAGCGGCTACACCCTGAAAGGATGGAATCCCTTTTTAACCAAAGCACTGAATGTTATTACCTATCCTTTTGGGCAGAAAAAAAATGTTCCTTTAATAGAACAGTCTTTAATAAAGGAAACATTTCCCTGCCTCGCCATTAAACGCACAGTCCAAGGTTTCTGATGATGATTTTCAACTGTCCCCTGCCCTTCAGTGTTGACCTCAGCCTCTGCAGCATTGGTATCCACTCCATCAAAATGATTTTCCACAGTTATAACCCATTGCACCACATCATCACATTTTTTTGTATAGAGCAGCAATCGAGACTTGAGTGGAATAATAGTTATTTATGCCTTGCCAAATACTTCTTGGAGCTTGAGGATGATCTGTTTCCTACTCAACGGACCAGAGTTCTGCTGCCTTTAGAAGTACTGACGATCGGGCGCCTGGGTGGCTCAGTTGGTTAAGCGACTGCCTTCGGCTCAGGTCATGATCCCACGGTCCTGGGATCGAGCCCCGCATCGGGCTCCCCGCTCAGCGGGAAACCTGCTTCTCCCTCTCCCACTCCCCCTGCTTGTGTTCTCTCTCTCGTTGTCTCTCTCTCTGTCAAATAAATAAATAGAATCTTTAAAAAATAAATAAATAAAAATAAAACATTTTGAGAAAGGGGCTATTAAATTTCACTATATTGCTGTATACCTTTCATTTATGGCACAAAAAAAGGTGAAGAACCCCTGACTGCCGGATGTTCTGGTAGATTTTCTCCTAAACTCATTAAGGTTAGCTGTTAGGAGTCATAACCCTTCTCCATTATGTCTCAGCATAATGAAATATCGTTCCAAACATTCTTTGAGTGCTTTAAGTCTACAGGCTTTTACAATGCCCGAAAGGTAAAAAGGAGGACACAGGAGAGAAGTTTGCTAACCTGCAAAATCCCTCTTAGACTTTTCCAAAGGAAATGTTTTGATAGAACACGAAGGGCTCCACCTTAAATGCCTATATTCAGCGGTTCCCACCAAATGTGTCCCCCTGGGTCTCTTTTCTGCATGTGTGCACGAAGGTGTGTTTTTTTCCCTTTGATTCCATCCCGGCACCCCAGCGTTCAAGGTATCTGGTCTTCTTTTCTTACTTGTAACTTCTTTTTTTTTTTAAAGATTTTATTTATTTATCATTTGAGAGAGCGAGAATGAGAGAGAGAGAGCACATGAGAGGGGAGAGGGTCAGAGGGAGAAGCAAGCTCCTTGCTGAGCAGGGAGCCCGATGCGGGACTCGATCCC